TTGAAAACGTAATGTAGTTGGCGGTGGTGGTGGTGGTGGTGGTGGTGGTGGTGGTGGTGGCGGTGGCGCTGGTGCAAGTGCTGGTGCTGGTGCCGGTGGTAGTGCTGGTGCTGGTGCTGGCGCTGTTGCTGGTGCTGGTGGGGGTGGTTGCGCTGGACTTGTACTAGTACTAGTAGCAGTACTAGTAGGACCAGTAGCAGTAGTAATTGTGGTGGTGGTAGAAGTAGCAGTAGCCGTCGTCATTATCATAGTGGCGGTAGCAGTTAGAGGAGAGTGAAAGATGAGGTCGCAAATTGCGATGTAGTGTCACTGCGCGGCTTGTGAATCAAAAGCATAGAGCTGTAAGTCTTGTAATATTCCTCTTCTAGTTGTTGCAGCGGAGCCGTCTTGCTAGTAGAGCATCTTCAATCTACGAACTATATCTGGTATAAGTCCGCATGGGTGGACTAGCAACCACAAACCAAAGAGTCCCACTGGCCAAGAAACAGATCCTGGACCAGGAAAAAGAGCTTCTTCACATCGAGCGTCAGCAAATGTAGGTCCGTGCTCCTGTAGTCTTGTACTGAGCACTACTTTCCGCGCCGGTGTCACCGAATTCATACTGTACCTGGCAGAACTGACTATATAGCAATTGCATTAGTGTGGAGAAGCACTCCTGTCAGCCTTTTCTTGTCACCAGTTGTCGTCTTGACACTGGCATGTCCAGAAACCCTGCCCCATGCCGTCCTACCAATTTCTGGAATGTGACCCTGACAAGAAAACCTGTCTGCACAGCAGGAGCTCCTCGCAGAGCCTTTAAGCCGACTGACGCCCTTCACAAGCTGCTCAGCTGTGATGCCTCCATCTTCTTGCACCATGTCGAACCTTTCCCAGCGCTCCACTCCACGACAGCTGGACTTCTCTCAGGCTCGTCGAGGGCTTCATCTCTACAGGGTCTCCCTAGTATGTCCGCGCAGAGGTGTAACAGACTAGCTAGACCCTATAGGGTGCACTCTATGGCATGGTATGACCAATGCCAGCAACATGCCATGACCAAATGATAAGGCGCAGAGGGAGCAGAGAGTGAGCACAGCATGCTGTTCGATATTCTTGAGCTTGGGAACACCATGTTAGGATCCGAGATGTGGAGGTCCATGGCGGCAAGCCAGTTGACGATCTCCGGATCGGTCATCCTTGCGTCCAACTTCAAAAGTCAATTCATTCGGGGAAGTCAAGGGGGAAGACCATTCAGGCTTTCATGTTGGGGAACTTGTGAAGGGCATGCCTTCAAGCCCTCGCAGCTGTCGAGTTTGTCGTCCACAAGAGGTTTGCGCGCGGTTTGCGGAACTCCCTGTGCTCTCTGCATTGTCGACTGATCATGGTGCACCGTCCCCGAAGTGTCCTCATGCTTGTTGGGAATCCGTTTTGAGTTCCTCCGTGATGAGGGGTTGGGTCCCTGGCCCTTGGGGTGAAATTCTGAAGGAGTCCACCTCTTCGTACGAAGCCAAGGAGCACTTGGATGAACTCCTCACGATCCAAGACGCCATCGCCTGTCTCATCTGCTGCCTGCCGGGAGCTTGGGAGGCTCGTGGTGAAATAGGAGGAGTGTGAAGTTTGCACCACTTGCTTCTCTCAAGGATCCATGGCAGAATTGACACCCAGCCCTGAGCCTCAAACAGTGACTTCATCTTCTTGATATGCTGGTGTCGCTTCTTCTCCGTGTTTCCTGGGCTTGAACACAGTGACCGAGAGAAGGCAGGGCGGGCGTCGTGGGGAACTGGATTCCATGTGAGCTTCCGTACGTAAGAGCCAGCAAAGCTTCTGTCGACGCAAGAGGCCGCACACAAGCGTTAGTCTCGATTTAAAGCTCAAACAAGCCACCAATTTCCATGAAGATCAACACAGTACTGTAGCTGGCGTGGCCGGGTTGAGCTGTTGGACGACACTTCGCACATTCTGGCTGGCATGTCCATGAAACCATTTATGTTGTATTGCCGTGGTTTTCTCAGTGTTGACAAGCCGCAAGACATTGGACATGCTTGAGAAGACAGCGCAAACACCTTCTGTACTTGATGTTGCTGGCAGGAATGGCTGAATAGCCATCAAGTTGCAAGTATCATTGCAACCGGGAATAGCAGGGGGTGGGAGGTGGAAGGCGAGGGGGGGAGGGTAGTTACTTACATTGAAACCCTTGTGACAGGGAAACACTGTCAGCTGAAATTCTACTGTGGGAATTAAGTGATGATACGAAATTTCAATTGAAAGACGTTCCTGCATGAGCATGGCCACAACCATTGTGTACGATCCAGCACGATCCAGCTCTGAAATTTGTTGGGATGCCAGTTAAGGCTTTCCGCTTGTCAAGCTGCGCATCATGATCTTGTCATCATTGTCTGCTGCCTGGAAGGTTTCCTTGAGGAACACGCCGTTGATCACCGCAATCAGAGCATATCCGATGGTGATCTGAGGCAAGGTAGTAACACACATCACCGAAAGCCATCCAGTGCGTCAGTGGTTGTCATATCCCCGAGCAGTTAGCAAATCTGCTGGTTCTGAAACGGCGAGTACATCTGGAAACCTCAAGGGAACCTGTGCTTGCAGTTCTTTATAATAGCCGATGTCGTCGCAGGACCTTGAACCTTGAGACTTCTTCCCCGCCCTCCCTGCCCGTGAAAGTGCCTTGTGAATAATGGAGAAAGCGGTGAAAGCTTCAGACACATGGTCCTGCAGAAGCCTAGGCGAGTAGGCATCTGGCTCCATGCTTCCAGATTCAGGGCATACGCGTCGCTTAGCAGACCCGTGTCTCCGACACGTTCAATCGCGGAACAGAAAGACAAAGGGCCATGCCAAAATATCCGTCTGACAGAAACGATCAAATATTGAAAACAAACAGTATCAGCGACGGCTGCATTTTCCAAAGCATTTGGATATCATTGTCGACTGTTCCCCTGGCGTAGCCCGATCCTTTTGAGGGTGATGTCTCACTCATGCTCACGCTGGTGTAAGACGATGGTGAGCCCTTATCCGGCCAGGATGCCGTGCCACTGGAGGCCAATTTCCAAGAGTGATCTCCTTGATGTGACAATGCTGCGCACTGCAACTACAAGCCGATCCCCGAGTTCGGATGCAAGGCTAACGCCTCAAAGCTCGAGTCTACTTCGGACATTAGGCTTCTGGCTCACTGCTACAGCTTTGTAGGGCTGAAATTCCGGATTCCGGAAAACCTTCGTTGATGTGCCCTCAGGGAGTCAACCAGAAGATCAACTCTCGTATTCGGAATCCCTCTGCTCCCCACCGTGATGTCACAAGGCAAGGCTGGTCCGAACGAGAAGCCAGCCGCCTACCAAGCCTACCTTTGCCGCTTCAGCTTGCCTGTTCTCCTGTCCCACCTGACTGACAGTCTTCACACAAGCAAACAACGCTCAGCGCACACAAGTCCGCACTCCGTCATACCACCACGAAAGCTGCTGCTGCGGACTCTACCTGCTACTTGCACGCGAGCTGCTCTCCCGTATGTTTCGCGTGCTCGCGCTTCGCTTAGTCTGGGACGAGCATCGAACATGGTCAACAAGCACCTGGAGCAAGTTCCAAAGTAGAGGAAGAGCTCGTTGCTTTCAGCCACAAGGACTTCGCTCGCGATGTTCGACTCGATCGAGTCGGAGACGACCCTCTGCCTCAGAACCACAGACACTTCCCAAGTCGGCAGCCAGGAGATGCCGGGCAATGCCAGTCATACGCAAGGCCATGAAAGAAAAGGCTCATTGCGGAAAGAAAGATGTCCACCGTTTCCATCAGTCCCATCATCATCCCGACCATTCCCCATGCTCTCGCGCTAAACAAGCAGGACGGCCTTGACCGAACCACGCTACTGAATCATGCAGATCGACCATACCAACATCAGGCCCCTCTTCAGACGTCCTGGATATTCTCAAAGGCACAAGAAGAGCGCAAACATCAGCTGCAACAAGAAGAGCCTTGGATGAGAGATGGACCCGGGCAACTTGCCCTTGCGTGCACAGTAGTGACACGGGGTTCTTCAAAAGGTCTTCTACTCTCGACTGGGCAGAACAACACCGGGAAGGCGGCATCGAAATATTAATAAATTGCATATGCAGCAGGACATGGTCCCCTAAACCCTGAGCAGCGCCTGCAAAGCTTGGTTATCACACCAGCCTCCGTCAAGAAACGACGCGAGCGAGTACAGGGCAGCGATCCAGTCATACACTTCTGAATGCAAGGAACTGTAGCAGCACGTAGTCGAACTGCCGTTGTCCAGTGTCTTCATGATAATTAACAAACATGAACTCAGCAAGACTGACTCGGAGTACGAGGTCGGATGACAGCAGAGAGCCATTTTCGCAGCAGAGGAGAGGGCGCCTATGATGCTACTGAGTGTTAAGACTCGGAATGGGAAGGACAACGGTAGTGAACACTCAACAGATCGCGGCGAGTAGATCTGCTGTGTCTGAAAACAATAGCGACCGAAGAAGCGACTGCAGGGTTGGCAGTTGGAAGGATACGCGTGAGATGAAGCAGATTCTGGCAACAAGACCACAATCAGAAACAATCACGGTGCACTTCTATCCGCCAGGCGGTTCAGGCAGCTATCTTTCTGGACATCTACATAGCACATCCTCATCCGGAGCCGCCAAGTTGCATCAAGAAAGACCATAGAAGAACCTGAGCACAAGTGCTGCGAGCATGGTGACAGGGTTTTGGAGCACAGCTCTGTGTCCATATGTGCGTCCGGCACTTGCTAACAATCTCTTTGGAGTGGGTGTGCTCAAAAGCTTTAGGGGATGAGGCTGCCTATCAAGACATCAGACAGCGGTTAGGGTCCGCAGGCTTTTACGTCGAACTTACAGGATCAAAGGACCCTTTGGACAAGAAGCCAATCGACAACACGGCCTTTGAGAGCCGAAACACTGAACCTTCGAAGGGATGGCAAATTAAGCCCGGAGCAATCCATGACAAGGAAATGAACCTCATGGTCATGCCGATGATGGTAAGGATGATTTTGGGGATCGTGGTGATGCTGGTGGTGCCGAATTCGACACTGATGCAGCCGAAGAAAGAACGATGATGTGAGTATGATTATGATGATGATGATGATGAGGAGAATGGCGGTGGGGATGATAAAGGTGCCATGGTAGCGATGAACTTGACAACGATCTTGAGACCGGTTACTCCGCGAACGCATCATGGAAAGCAAGCGTGCCATGGTAGCTTGACGGAATCTTCTGAAGGTGCACGTGGAGGAGCTGTCACGCTGCCACGGAGAGCGGTGGTAAGTATGTAGAGAGCCTCAGATTTGGGGGAACTAATTCTGCCAAGATCTGATGTGGAATCACACTGACTGCTTCTCTCTAGAATCCCCAGCAGCATATACTGTTGAAGCTACCGTAGTACTTGTACGTAGCATGTCCTAAATCCAGAATGCCTATACGCTTCTCTCACGACTATATCATGGCAGTATGCCATTCTCCGATGCACCTTGCTGTACTATGCTGTAGTAGCAAGCCGATGTAGAACAGAAAGGCGCTTTAAAGCTCGAAATGCTAGCTTCAGGCATCTGGATCACGTAAACCACCGGACAAATTCTGCCCCAGAATCTCCGATCGCGGAAAACGCATGGGCTTTACTTCTCTTTGTCCTGCCCCTCATTTTTGAAACACAAGTGCTTCGTCCAGTCCCTCATCTTGCGTAAGGTTTTGTAGTTGTACGTGGTTACAGTATGCATTGGAGCTCCTACTCCGTGGGAGTGTGCCAGTGGAGATTTTGATTGCCGCGGGGGGGGGGTCAGGTGGAGGCGACCGTGGACTCTTGCATAAGGAGTCTGTGACCTTCCGAGCAGCGTCGAAGCCCTTCAGCTTCCTCACCAAGCGCATGAGGCGGAGGAGGCGGGCCAAGCGCGCAAGGCGCAGAAGCATAGGATCCACGGGAAGAAGTCCTGCAACACAGGTGCAAGTTCCAAGGGCCCGCTGATGTGGGCTAAGACTTTAAGAAGAACTTGGGTTCGGGGCTTCCGATCCGTGTTGCGCTGGTGACGGGATTCGTTGTTGATTTTCACGATGCGGCATTCCCACCGCGTTCTGCCTGAGAAGACGGTGTCGACGAACCATGCAACAACCTCAGGCATTGGTGGTTTTCTCTGGTTCCAGTCAGAGTCTTTCATTCTTGTCACCCTTCCAACTTACATTCTGTCCTGCTGCGGGGGCCTCAGGGATCCCAAACAAACCTGTGACTGTTGCATAGGCGGCATAACCCACACATTCATTGCTAGTGCACTTGCTTGAACTGCCAAGATGGTTGCCTAAGAACTCTTATCTGAAAAATGTCGCGTTCTTCGGCAAGTCTCCAGGATGCACCGTGATACTCACGCAGCCTTTGAATTCAAGAAATACGGCGCGCCGATTCATAAACATTCGAGAAAGGGTGCCCTTGATCTGTAGACCGGACCTTGAACGTCCAGTCTAGAAGAGTTGACATGGCTACGATTTTGGACAAGGAGCCATAATGGTGTCGAAATAATTCCAGAAGTCCCGCAGGAACTGGCACTTCATGCCGATCTGGGCGATGTGACAACACGTGCTCATTCTAACAGCAGCGGCAACTAAGACCATTCAGGAACTTTGGAACAGTCTGGCCACCGCCTCACCTCCAACCCGAAGAAACGCTGAGCTCCGAACGACTTTCAAGATCAGCTCGGCGGCAAATATCGGTCCGAAAAACCACTCCTGAAGTCCGGTATCAATTCTGGATGATCTGTCAGAAACCCTAAGTGGCAGCTACTGCATAGCGTGCATCCAGTCCACACAGCTTCGAGACTTACGCGCAGTTAGGCAACATTCGTACATTGCCGCTGATACATCGTTGCTGCTTTAGCATCAACCAGCTAGGACAGAGACTGTGGGTACTTGCGATGTGGCGATTCTAGAAAGAAGTATCCTATATAAGCTACTGTCCCAACGGGCTCCACCTGCCAAGGCACGAGCATAAGTACGCGAGTCTGATGCCATGTCGACCCGTTGCCAGATTGAAATCCGTGCTGCTACAAAATGCAAAACTCCACGTGTGCCCCCCATGGGCAGGAATTTGTGCTTATCAGGTGAACCCATGTATATAAATGCTGCAACGAAATCAACACCGATCTGTACTGCCGCAACACATTTTCGTTAAGGGATCATGGTTGAGACCACCAAAACCGCAAAGAAGGAGGTCAGGTCCTACCTCGCAGGGTGCTTTCCAAATGGGTTCTCTCGCCTGGACTATGGACTCCGATTAATCCCAGACGTGCGTATGAGCGGCAGAAGCCACGAACACTTCAGCTGCACCCGGCCAAAGCTCCGTCCCAGGAGCGTTGTAGGTTCGTATGCCTCCGGACCGCTGCAGAATCATAGCAACTTACGCCATGCTGATGATTGTAGGACAATAAGAAGACCACCAAGGCAAGTAATGGCGGGCTACAAAGGACAATGGCATTGAGTACAGTCAGTAGAAAGTTATATCATCAGTGCATGAGAACAGTGCTCGATGACAAAGAGACAAAGGTTATCAGAAGAAAGTCACAAACTTAATTGATGCTACTATTTTTTGCTGCTGAAGCTGCTGTTATTGCAGCGCATCAATCGTGCTGCACTGGTCTGTGGTGAGAACTCCATAATTACTGGCTGACAGGGACGCTCGTTTAGGAGTCGAGGCACTTCAATGTCTGCTTGCTTTTGCTCTAGGATTGTTTGCATGTTTTGGCTGTTATGTTGAACTCTGGCTATTGACACAAGACTGCGTTCGCTGCTGCTTCTGCTTCCGAATCCTGCTGCTTGTACCATTACTACTTTTCAGATGTTTATTAACTGTTGCAAAACAAACTCTGTATTAATTGGTAGTAGTTCTCGTCGTCGTGGTAGTAGTGGGAGTAGTAGTCGCCATCGTCGTTGTCGTAGTAGTAGTAGTAGTAGTAGCAGCAGCAGCAGTAATGATAGCAGTAGTAGTAGCAGTACAGTAGCGGTAGTGGTAGTGCCAGTGGTCGTGGTAGTGGTAGTGGTACTGGTAGTGGAAGCATGAGCAGCAGTAGTAGTAGTAGGAGTAGTAGTAGTAGTAGTAGTAGTAGGAGTAGGAGTAGGAGTAGGAGTAGGAGTAGGAGTAGGCGAGGCGAAGGAGCAGGCATAGGAGTAGGAGTAGTAGTTGCAGGGGTAGTGGTGGTGGTAGTGGTAGTGGTAGTGGTAGTGGTAGTGGTAGTAGTGGTAGTAGTAGTAGTAGTAGTAGCAGCAGCAGCAGTAGTAGTAGCAGTAACAGTAGTAGTGGTGGTGATAGTAGTCGTACTACTACTACTGATATCAGATGTGTTACTAACAGTAGCAGTAGCAGTAGCGCTAGCAGTAGCGGTACTGTGTAGTAGTGGTGGTAGTAGTAGTACTGCTACTGCTACTGCTACTGCTACTGCTACTGCTACTGCTACTGCTACTGCTACTGCTACTGCTACTGCTACTGCTACTGCTACTGCTACTACTACTCCTACTACTGCTACTACAACTACTACTACTACTACTACCACTACTACTCACTACTACCTACTACTTACTACCTACTACCTACTACCTACTACCTACTAACTACTACCACTACTACTACTACTACTACTACCACTACTACCACTACTACTACTACTACTACTACTACTACTACTACTACTACTAAAGCGATTAAAGCACAACCGGAAGAGGAGTGGGTTCTTTGCCTCCACAGCTGTATCAACCAACAGGCTGAATAAAAGCGTGGATCCCTCCGGCAAAAGGTCGACCCCGTTCTTTAAAATCTACCGACAAACACGAACACGCACTTGGTTGATTCACACAGACACAAACACACACACACACACACACTCACACACACACACACAGAGTGGATAGATAGGTACATAGATGGATACACGCAGATAGATAGACAGACAAATAGATAAATAGGTGGGTGATAAGTAATTAAGTGCTGCTGTTAACTGGGAGGATGTAGATAGGGATGAGTTTGGGATGCAGGTGCATTTATGTGCACATACCCTGCCGCACGCGCGCATGGCACATGCGAATGCATGCATCTGCAGGGGAGGAACAGAAAACTCAGCTGGCCTAAGTCGTAGCCCAGCGTGAGGCCCGCCTAGAAGCAGGCATGTCTGCAAGAAGCACTCAACCGTCTCTTGTATCCCAAATTGGCTTTCAGGTGATTATGGGCTTGTGACCGGGGACTTTTGTCGGTGTCGGTGGTTCGAAAGGCAGGCCGCTATGGTACGAGTCAGGATGTCTACAAGAGCGATCATGAGCAAGGCAAATTTCATGACCAACGGCGTATGCTTGAAGCGCGGACCACCACCTCATTATCATCATCATCACAGTCATCGCAATCATCATCATCATCATCATAATCATCATCACGTCATCATCATCACCGGCAGCATCAGCATCCGTTGGACCATGGTCGACATCACAATATCGATCATGGTCCTAATGATCGTCGGAGTCATGGTCATCGTTGCCGTCATCACCACCACTAGCATCGCGCTCAGCATCATGTATGCCATGATCGTCATCTTCAACAGAAGCAGCATCGTGATGGCCGACGGGCCAGTCACCAGCGTCACCGTCATCATTGAGCTCATAGTCATCCTCCTCATCACCATCATTATCATCATCACCGTTGTGGAGAAAATCGTTGCCTTTGTCAGTATCATCATCATCACCGTCGTCATCTTTACCATCATTACAAGTCCCCATCGACGTGTTGCAGACATGTTCATTGTCATGATGACGGCCGCCGTCGTTATGACGGTCATCATGTTACAGGTAATCGTCAGTGCCATCACCATCACCATCATCAAAAACATCTCGATCTCTTGCTTTGTGCATTCCCTAGACTCCGTTAACAATCCAGCCTGCGAGCTAGCTCCTAAGGGCGGTCAAGCTGTTCGAAAGCCCAGTTGCGTGTTGCGCTTCGAACGACATCACAATGGAGTTGATCACGATGAGAACACAGATGACTGTCTCGAACCTCAGCCAGTTTCCATCGACGGGAGCTACAGGGCATCTGAAGAAGCATCGCCCGAGCTGCAGAAAGAGAAGCCCTTGAACGGAACTCGACAGACCAGGGGGCATCGGGTCAAAGACGAACTTGAAAATTCCTTTGGGCGCCTCCGCCTGACAAGCGGTTCCGGCCGACGGTGCGTTTCCAGCAAAACTTATGATTCATACTTGCTGGCCCTCTTCTACTAGTATCTCTGTAGATGCACGTACTACGAAAAATTAAGATGATCATTGACTCATTGCCATCTGCAGTGGCAAGACTACTCTCGTCATCGTGACAGGCGTAGTACAAACCCTAGAGTTCATACATTGGATGTGGCATGATGGTATGTGTATATGCATACATATACATCTGTATATGAGCATATATCCATATATGTATATACATATATATGTATATGTCTATAATATGGCCTACACCTATATGTGTGTGGGAGCCTTGGTGAGGCCACAGACTGTACGACTAGCGAAAGCGTCCCATCATCTACAGCTCGACACTCGACTTCCGGTCCTGCACAGATCGATCTCCCTGAAACTCAGAATAAGCCGGACGAAATGCAGTGCCAGTACCACTTCATTTCTCCCTCCCAGCTGGTTGGCGCAAGCTGATGCACAAGCACACCTTGTAACGATTGGTTACAGCGGGGGTTTGAGGGCCAGGATCCACAAGCCTCAAGAAAACGCAAGGCTATGCAAACGGGCGGGTAGGTTGGAATTCCCTTGACGGGACGTTACTGCTTGTTCCCCCATCCCTCCACACTGCTCAGAATCCAAGCCTTTGGGTAGAGCAATGCCGAAGCCCAGAGACAGAGCGGAAGCCCCAGATTCCGTCTGGAATGCGTGCAAGCCCTCAAGCAACACAAGAGGAGCTCCTTGAGTACACCAGAGCTCGCCGAACCCATCCGCTCGAAGCGGCTCGCCTTAAATTGTCTGCAGGCTTTGAAACCGGTTCAACTCAAGACTACGGGTAGGAGAAAATAAAGTCCTGGTCATCGGGATCGAGTAAGCACCAGGAGTTTTTGGGGTCCAGGCAAGAGTCAGCTTGTCCTGCTTCTGCTGCTTTCAAGCGATGTACTTTAATTTTGACTCGTGCGACACCGCATTGAGCACACGAGCTGACTCATGCTCGAAATGTCGGACACGACTAAAGCTTGGTTGCCATTTGCCTCAACTCGATTCTTCACAGCAGGGTCGCGTGGTCCCGTCTCTTGACATCAGTATCTTCCACGGACACCGGATCGCGCAAGACCTGGCTGCCGCTGTTCGCGTGTCCGTGTTGTCAAACTTATCAGACTATGCCGAGGAGGTTTCTACAGCAAACTACCGCGTATTACACGTAAACAGATACACGTACTTCTAAAGTACGTACCTGTACAGATTATGTGTATATAAAACTACCCTGCACAGAACTACATATGAAAAGCCAATACATATAGCTATACATATGCATGTAAATGCACATTTCCATACACATATACAGACATACACACATATGCACATACACACACACACACACACATCTACATATATCTATATGTATATATACACACAAGAATACATAAATGCGTGCATGCACGCATACGTATGCAGGTAATCGCAGGTACATACACATCTGCACCTGCACATTCGTATGTAACATATACACAAGCAACTGCATATACTCATGGTGAAAGATATACATACTACTTGTTTATTTACACATCTGCCCCCACCATTCCAAAGATGCTCTATTTTGCAGTGGAATGTATAGTGCAAGTGCGGTCTGAAGGACTGGACCTTGAGGGGCAAGAACATACGAGCATATGGAGTGCAGATAATGCAGGCTACGAAGTCCAGATGCTAACATGCTTGGCTGGCATGCTGTGTATTGACGTTCTCAGCATCTCAATCATTCGTCCACCCGGCTTCGTCGGCCCTTGAGCCACATTATCTGGTGTTCGACGTGTGCAACTCTTAACTGTTTGGTTCGCCAAATCATTTGCAGTCCTCATGATCAGATCCCTCAAATGTGACATACAAACCGATGTAGAATCGAGGGTGAAACATGTAAATATTGTTGCTGAGAAGGTTAAGTGTCTAGCCCCTGCACCAATCTTGCTATAGTAACAATACTCCAGGTGAAAAGTGTGTAACCATTCGGTACCTTTGGGGCTTTGGGTCTGCCATGTGAAATTTCAAAATTCTGCACTTCGATACTTATCGTGTTTCGGTACCTCTATCAGTTGTAAAGCCCGGACGTCGCGGCATCAGCAACAGGCCGAGTTGCAATGTGCAATAGTGCAGATTGGATTGTAAAAGAAGTAAAATATTGAAATACACATCTACATGTGTGTATATATACACACACATATGTAGATGTGCTTGCCTGTAAAAATATGCATACACGAGTACTATGTCTGTGCATAGTGTGTATCTCTCTCTCTATATATATATGTATATATGTATATATACATATGTGAATATATAGAAACGGATGGATGTATATCTATATGTGTGTAAACGGATGTTTGTATGTGTGTAGAAAAGTGTAGGCACATATGGCATGTGATGTCTTACATGCATCATATATATATATAATATTTGCTTATCTATTTAACTGTTTCTATTCTTATGTGTATATATCTATACATATATGTATATATATATATATATATCCAACGTACGCAAACAGATATAAAGGAACATGCAGCATTGCGACGGAGTGGCCGAAGTGCATTCCGTGCAACTGTCAACATGTGTATCCGAAGGTCCGGCTTGGGTGCCATGGCGCTGGCGCTTGGCGTGGCTCTGCTTGACACACACACACACACACCCACACACGTCCACATCTTCGTCCGAAGGGAACCGCAGATCCAAGCCAAGTTTTGGACCGCAGTGCTACTCAGGACAGTCCAGTATTGCTCAAACCGTAGACCCAGCGTGTAGAAGAAAGCCAGCCTTCGTCTGGCCCTGCACGCGTATCACGTGAAACTCTGCCATCTTGCGGCCAACGGAAGAAGGTTCCTGAGACTTGGGAAAAAAATTCCCGGAAGCGTGCATTGGGGATAAAATACCTGGATGCATGCAGCACCTTCATGCTTGGATGACAGCGCTACATAGCAAGCTGCTAAGTCCGAGGGACTGAGAACCCAAAGCCCTAGACGGCCTGCTCTGAAAGCCTACAGGTGCCGCCTGACATCCAGCCCAAAGTTTGGGGCATCATGCAAAGACACTCTGCGGCTTTGGCTCTGTAGCGACATGTTTCTAACTACTGTATGTGACAGCCAACTCAACGAACACTGCCTGCTACTGCTACAGAGGCTTGGTTCCTCAGTACTGCGATGTATGTGCACATGCGCGTGTACACCGTAAACATGATTGCAAGACTCGCCTGACCAGATGCAAGCACCGATATTCCCAAGTCTGCACTGCTGGTTTAAACTCAGCCCAGAATAGTAGAAATGCTTTGTATCTTCAGTGCGGCAGGTCGTGTCTGATGTGTCTGTAGACACACTCTCCGTGTATACATACCTGGCCAAGGCATGTATATGATGTAGTCGTGTACATGTGTTGGAGCATCAGTACCTCTTTTGCCAAGGAAGGCATGTACGGCTCCAATCATTTGCTCGAGCATCGTCCGACTTCGTCCTCTGGACCTGAACGTGGGTTCACGAAGGGGAGGCGACCCTGAAAGTACTTAAAGGTTGTGTAGAATTGTCCGAAGCAGCGACCATGAAGAACAGTGGAAACCCAAGTCTTGGAGATGTTTACAATGGAAGATTTTTTGACTCGGTGCGTAGAGTCAGGCTTTAGGAACTGGGTTTGGCACCCGTCTGAGGGTTCGAGTTTAGTGTCGGGGTCCGGGACTTCGGGGTACCGAGACGACTCCTCATGATTCTTTTGTCTTCGTTGAGCTGCGAATTATGCGTTCGGAATGGTTGTAGTGCTCTTTCAGCAGGCATGCAGTCGTTGAGTCTGATGCGGCGAGCACGACAAGAATCAATAGTGCCCCAGCATTAGCTCTGCAAAGTACCGCATGCACCGAAAACAAGTCCAGGCAAGCCCGGAAGTTGTGCCGTAACTTGATGACACGAAGTGCCCATGTAGTTCCGGTATGCCTGTGCCAGGTCCATCTCAGTCAATTTCCTTGGCTGCATGAAACTCTATGGCACTCGATGACCATGTCCAAAGGACTTCAGGTCAGAGACTAGGACATGACTAGGACAACACCTGTCCTAGCAAATACCACCCCTACCGATTTCGCAGCTCGTGTCCGCCTTTGAAGCTTGCACCGAGCAGACATGACACGAGGTCACCGCAAGTTCTTCTGGTAAGCACCTTTTTTGAAAGCCTAATTATCCGAAAATGGCCGATGAGGAGGATGATGAAGAAGCTGGTGCTACGAGTAGATACTGCTTGATTGACATCACTAGCTACTTCACCATAGGCGAACACTCCCTCCAATGGGAAGGGGGTGACATCTCTAGTTTCACTGTCCACTTCAGCACTGCCGTGCAAACAAATGACACTGCATCCACAGAGTCTGCTGGCATCTTGTCTGTCCTCAGCTCTGAAACATCGACGAAAGCCTAGACCCTTTGCAGTGCATCTGCATCGAATCGACTGGTTGACAATCGATAGATCAAACCCGTGCCCGGCGCTTCTACCATCCATGAGATGCTGTGAAGCCTTGTTTTTCGAGAAGCCATCACATCCCCCAGAATCCACTCTAAGCTCCGCATACGCACAGCCATCAGCAAGCTTGGGATTGCGCTGAGCTGCATGAATACATCGGCCGCACTGTGCTGGGTTGAGTATTCCGCTCAGAGATTATGTCGAAACATGAATGTATTCCAAACCTTATTACATAACATGACTAAGACTGAGAAGAGGGGGCACCCATAGCTTCAGCCAAGCATCACATCCGGAGTCCATCGGTTGGTCCTTGGGTGGAGAGACCCTCTGTGGCACCTTTCTACGTCGCTCCGGAGCTCTAGCAAAGCTGCGGGTCGCTCCGAGTCCTCAGGCCCCTGTCACCTGCATTGTGCTTTTCGAATGCCAAGGATCGCCTCACTCTTCAACAACTCATTCCTCTGCACGAGCCTCAGCCACTCTTTCGGCATCTTATGCTGCTGCGCTCATGGCCCGTTTCCGCAAAACGCTCAACTGCCCGCAACTCTGCATGAAAATTATCTAACTTTCTTGCGTGCCGCTCAGTCGAATAATGGAGCCTTTCGGCGGAGTTTTGGAGCTGCTTGCGCGCGAATGTGGATCTTAAGCCCTTAAGCTTAAGCACATCAACATGGCAGAGCCTTATGCTTAAAGTTGGCCTGAGTATTTTAAGGAGGTCGCTACGATTCGAAAGTCTGCGGTATACGAACACACCGAGGTGGCGTTCGACCGCATTGGCAGGCTCATTGACGGTTTTTGCACTGCGAACCCAACCTTATCGCGATCGTTCTGATTCTCGGTATGTCTCGGTATTATATAAAGTTTGGACCCCGAATTGTGAAGCCACGTGCCGTTTGCTGCACAGGGCCAGCAGCTGATGCAGCTCCTGGAGGATCTCATGGTGACGGATCGCCAACTCCTCGCGCTCTTTCTGGAGTGAGGCGTCCAACCTGGGGCCGCGATTGCTTCGCGGCTTTCGGGCAGAAAGCCAAGAGAGGGCAGATGTGCCTCTGCCAGTATTACGGGCATTCTAGGAAATCTCTTGGCGTGTCATGCTCGAAGACTTAGCATGTAGTCCCCTGGACCGACAACTTGACAGTAGGCAGCTGGAAATGGCTTGTCGCCTAAATGCTCTGTGTCCTTTTGGGATAAATGGTCGTTCGGAACCCGTAGAAGCGACTGAGAGACACAAACGAAACTGAAAGAGCTTGCCCCTTATTCAACGAGCTAGTTTTGCTTGTGTACCTTAATCCCGTCCCCTCGCCCTGATAGTCCCTAATACTACAGCATAGCAAAACCGTCCCCCCTGCAACAATTCCGGCCCAAAAGGTTCGGTCGGATGGGCTTTCTGCGATCCGCCGACCCTGCAATTCATGTCATGGCTCTCGCAACCCAAGCATTCTTCAGACGGGGCTTGTTGCTCAGCGGTGCAGCTGAGGCACCAGGAAAAGAGGTCTCGCGTCGCCATTCCGGGCAGTTCGCGGCAAACCCAGCGAACCCAACAACCCGGAGTGTGCGGCAGTCCGTCTGTTCTACATCACATCTAAGGTTAAATCTGGCCCACACTCAATCTGTATCAGTCTGAAACCCAAGCTTTCAATCCTACATCAACTAACTGGCCGAGTGCTTGCAGATCCGATGGCAGCAGGCACAAAGCTAACGTGGTTCTGCTGGCAGTGCGACGGAATCGACACACTTAGGTGCAAAACAACTAAGACCATTGCACCTTCAACACTTCAACGCCAGCTTGCGGCATAGATCCAAACAGAAGAAATGACACAGGGGCACTTGTGGCAGCCTCGCTGCGTAAGCTCATGCTTCGTGCACGCACACGCACACACAAACACACACACACACACATGTGGGTCCCGGACCTTGATCGCCCCTTTGAGAAACGGCTGAGGAAAAGGATTTTTTGCCGACGAGTGCCAGAAGTTTCTATATATGGCTACGACGCATGTTCTCTCCAGATTGCCGAAAGCAACGTCAAGTATCCAGGTCCTCATATTATGGGAGACTAGCCCCCGCAACCCCGCCGCGCCCTGGCAGCGTCGACTTTGCTGAAGGCATCTTCCAGGAGTTCGAAGGAGCTGGGCCCTGCAAGTTCCTGGCACTGCAAAGTATGGAGATCAACCATTCAGGACTGAGGAGCTGAGGTTTAGAGCAACGGGTCAGATCCAAGGTGTGGGACCAAGATACTGGAAAGCATTCACATGCGGAACACGACTGCCACGAGGCTACAGGCGTGCCGACGGAATTACAAAGCAAAGTACGATTTGAAGTGGACGTGAGCAGACGCCCCAACAGAAACCAAATCGCGTCTTCGTGGATGTGAAACGTGCCGAAGCAAGTATGCAGGAACGACGGTGGCAGGAAAAGTGCTGCCTAGCAGCAGTGAGAGCGACTGCAGCAGCAAGAAGACGAATAGCTTCTCTTGGATTTTGCGACACGGAGTACAAACGACTGCACAAAAGCAGGCGCATGAAATCGCATGAAGCAGGCCGTAACAATCACTCACCCCCATCCTCGGCCCACATTTTGCACTACCACGACAATCATCATCAGCAGCATCACCATCATCACCAGCGTCATCATCATGCACCACCACGCACCACCACCACCACGAACCACGCACCACGAGCACCAGCACCAGCGCCAGCGCAAGCGCCAGCGCCACCAGGATAAGCAACAAATGCAACAGCAGCAGCTTCAGCTCCCACAAGTGTCATCACGATGATCACCATCCAGCCCATCACGGTCCTCATCCTTTCACCACTTCGAAATCAACATGAATACACATCAATGCCGCTGGACCTCCACCATAGCTTCCAGTCTCTTGCCGACCTCGGCTGCGACTCGACTAGGCTGTAAGCAAATCTCTTGTCATCTCCTAATCCTCAGGCCACAACTGTTTCCCTGCTGTCCTATCAGAAAGAACCTGAGGCTCCAGATAGTCTAAGCAAAGCACCCCGTGGTGCAAAGATGTCCTCTTTGTTTCGGGCTTACTTGAAGGGCTCAGCCGTGCGGTTGCTTCCAGAGCTCTGCGTGGTTCTCATACCAAGATTACACCCCCTTGCTGCTGGGCGACGTCATCTTCGGCAGGGAACCGACCTGGGCACCTCAGTGTGTGGTGACAGGCAGGGATCAGAAGAAGAATGTTCGGGAACAGTGAGGAAAAACGACTAATTACTCAAGCCCCCGAACAATGAACTTGACGAGTCGCAACGAGAGACGAGTTGGGGCACTGCTCACTCTAGCATGTAGGCGGATGCCAAGCACTCTTCCCCCCCCAAGCCACGCATGCGAGCCCAAAACCCCACGGCAGGACAGGTTCTGACTTCGAAAGATCGCAGTCCTGTCGAAATCCGCCTCGGGAGGACGTTCCCCCTCACCTCTTACTCATCGAATTCTTACAATGCAGCACCGTATGTACAGTAGCGACTCCGACACATGCCTAAACGAGGCCGACTCCGGGCCAAAGCACTCTGACTTCCAAGGCAGCTGGTCGTAGATCGTTTCCTGGTAGTCAGGGGCATAGATTTGTTCAACCCCCCTGCAGGACCAAAGGTCTTCAAGTGCCTTCAGGTGATTGTGGGGCTTCTGGCTTCTGGAATTCTCTTTTACGCTTTCATCTGAGGGTTTCGATGTGACGGAGGCTTGTTGCAAGCAGCAGTCGCTGTTTCCGACAGTGATTCCCAGCCTGGCCGCAGGCTACAATACGGGGACAGGGATACAACAAATGACGATGTGTTGATTGTGCCCTTGTTTGTGCACTTTTGAAATTTCTTCAGCAGCTCGGACCTGCCTCCTTGTCGCAGCTTTGGATCATCCCTCCATCCCAGCCAGGGGTGCCTCCGGTACCTGCCAGCAAAAAGTGCTTCGGCTGGCCTCGCGGTTTGATTATAGGGCTTAGGGACTTTGGGCTTTAGCGTTTGAGTCTTTGTGATATCAGCGCCAACTACGCCCAGAAATTTTAAGGGGGGCATCCCCACATCTTCTCACAATTTTGGGAGTAAGTCGGAGAGCCAAAATCACAGCTTGAGTCCCAAAGCGCACATCGTACACTGCGAGGCCTACTTCGATTACGCCACATAATGCTAACCTTGGATCTTCGAGGAAACCCATTCGCAGCGCCTCCGGAGAAGCAGCCCATATCCGCGACAACTGGCACGGCGGTCTCCCTGGCAGCTTCTTTGGACACTTGTCATTCTTACCTTAAACTTTAACCCCAATGCTGTCAAACTTCGCGCTGTGCCAATTGAAAAGTAATAAGCTTCTGCGGCCGACTGGCGAAATCTAGCTGCATCATTTTCTCTACAATGACCCCCCCTTTCACAACACACGCACACACAACACACACACACACACGCACACACACACACACACAAACACACACACACACACACTTAGGCATCCATCGCTCAGCCACTCATCAGTTTGTTATCAAGCACTGCTTGATGTATCACGAAAGCATGAAGCTTTCAGGGGTTCCGGTACGTGTCTGGCCTCAAGGCTGATCAGTTGTGTTCTGCTTGTTATTCTGCTGTACAAGGCAACTGGACTCTTCACACATGCAAGCACAGCACAAGACTGAACGGTACATGCACTCTCTCTGACTCCAAAGCATGACAATTTGTGGTCACAAGCTGCACAAAAATGTGCCCATGCCGACCACTGCAGGTATCTTTACCTGTCTCAATTTCACGGAGCTTCGTTGGCAGAGGCCGTGAAATGAGACCCTCTGCCCTCTGCAAGAAAGCAACTGACATTTGCTCATAGCAACAGAGGTCCACGCACGCACACACACACACACACAACCACAACCAC